AATCGAAAAAAAAAAAAATTTTAAAAAAATTTCAAAATATTCCATAAAGGCATAAATTTATTTTCAAAATAAATCAAATTGTTTAAAAAAACAAGTAAAAGGAAACCATTATATTATTATCTTTTTAAAAATTTACTAAGAAAATGATCCACATAAATAAAGTAATAAGGTAATCTCTAAATTTATCAAATTAAAATAATTAAATAACTTTTTAAAAATATGATAAAAAAGAAAAATTAATAAATGGTTTAAAAAATTTTAAATTTACTTTGAGAGGAGTTTTATATTTATAAATATTACCAAGTCTTGCATAATGATTCAAATCAAATTTTTGAGAGGACCATATTTATTTCCTAAATTTGTGCTCACATGGTTGGTGGAGCAATTGATACTAAAAGTCTAAAACTCACTAAAAAAAATTACATGTGTAATTAGACGACCATCCAAGGCCCCACGTCCTCACGTGTTTCTGCGGCCTCTATAAAATATTAACGTTCTCATGCTTGCCTTCATCGTCGAAAGCATATCAATGTGGTTTGTGTTCTAGCACAACTATACAAGTTTATCTAACATTACTTTTTACCAGCAAGATAATATGATGCGGTAGAGCTGCTGCGATGATGTCCGAAAGCTGCAACAATCTAAAGTGAGCAACTTAGATAATCATTCCTATCCATTGAGCATGAATATGCATACCCTATTGAGAATGGATTTCAATTTATGCCATTCCACATGGTTTTTGATCAGGTTTACAATCATGAATTCCAACTTCAAGAATTTCAGTATTTCGTATTGATGGATTTTGAGGCGACGTTTGATAAGGTTATGCAACTTAATCCTTAGGTTATCATTGAATTTCCATTTGTTATTGTTAACAGCCTAATAGGACAGATCGAAGATTGCTTTCAAACATATGTCCGACCAACTCATCACCCACTTTTGACTGATTTTTGTAAAGAGCTCGTAGGCATACAACAAACTCAGGTTAATATATATTTCTATCTTACTATAAAAGGTTATTTTGGGTTGATGTTGGACACTAAATTAAGTATAATATGTTTGTAGATGGCGGCGTTTCTCTCAGCAAGGCTCTATTTATGGAAAAATTATTCTGTGCAGCACAGAACGTCGTCCGTAGACTAACTATAATGCGCAACGTCACCCGATGCTCAGTACCGCGGCTCAGTAGCGCTAACATGAAACATTCTGGTTAGTCTCCAGACGGCGTTTTGCGTCTGGTATCCACACAGAATAATTTCTCCTATTTATGTATGACAATGGTTGAGGGAGAGGGGGTCAAACATACTAGCTTTACCATTGTGACATGGATCGACTGAGATTGCTACACAATGCTAGAATCTGAATGTAGATTGAAGGGAATCTACAAACCACCCTTTTTTGATAGGTAGATTGTGTTTTTCTCTTGTACCACATTTTTTATTTTTTTGTAAGTTCGAATTTCATTCACACCGCCTTAAATTTGAGAGATTATTGTTGGCTTTAGTAAGTATTAATAAAACATCATGCAACACAAACTTATGTGATAGCTTTTGAAATTTCTCATTTTCTTATATTCACCTCGTAAGCAAGCATAAAAAAATTATTTATCTTGTATAATATTTAATTATAAAATCTTGTACACCACAAAAATTTTATGTCATTAATTTCGGAGCTTTAATTCTACTTTTGTTGTTTCTCAATTATGAAGAGATATGGATCAATCTAAAGGCTCCATTTCATGAGATCTTTGGACGTGTTCGTTGTAACATAAAGGAAGTAGTTAAGCTGGTTGGCCTTACTTGGGAAGGGCGTGCTCATAGTGGCCTCGATGATGCCCACAACACCATTCAACTTCTCGTTTATCTTATGCGCAAAGGCTTCCAGTTTTCCACTACTAGTTCCATGGAATTTCCTGAAACTCATTCCATGGAATTTCCTGAACCAATTGGAGAAGCAAAAGAAAAGACGGAAACAGGCAATTCGATGGAATTCCCTCGAACTTGTTTGGATAGTAAGATGAACTATCTAAATCAAACTGACAAGTAAAAAGAGAAGGTAGTAGCGGTCATTGAAGTTCAATCCTTAAAGAGCTCCATAAAGGAGGAAAGCAAATACTGCTTGTGTGCTGTGAAGAGCAACAAGTGCTTCGTAAGCCAGGGCGGGCCTAAACAAGGAAAATGGTTATTTAGTTGCGGAAACTGAACCGCTTCAAGGAGAGGAACTTTTATTTGTCAATTAGATGATATGAACTATGCACAAAGGCTAAAATAGTTGTTGTAATTACAAACAATAACATGTAGGTGATTGCTGAGCATTTAGAATTTATGATGATATATATTGCATTATGTATGGTTAGTCAGATTTATCATTACTGTTGCATTTGAACTTATTTATCATTATCGTGGTTAGTCAGATTTATCATTACATAAAATAATTTCTAATAGGAAAATTTTGTACCCAAGCCACGAATTGGATTTTTAGTATGTTAGTCGATTGTTTGCTTCCATCAAGATTTGAAATTATATCACTTACTGCTACTTTTTTCTTTCAAATTTCATTATTGTGGTTAGTAAGAGAGAGAGAGAGAGTCAGAGAGCTAGAGAGAGAGTGTGTGTGTGTTTATAATTGAACTCAAAATTCTCACTCCGCCACTCCTCTGGCCACTCCTCAAAGGAGAAAAACAAAACATGTAACAATCGATCTCTTAATAACCAGTCAAATGTTATTGGGCTCTTCCAAATTTCACCCATAGAACTTGTTTTACATAATTTATGGCTAATATATTATACCGACACATTTTTTAATTACAAGAAATGAGATAAGGTTTATGACCATTATCACTCAGTTGATTTATTTGGAATTATAATGTAGGTGGATCACTTGTTGGAAGTGGGTGTAAGACGAGTGCACAAATCACTATTGAGATGAGAGAGTCACAACACTATACCAAATATGTTGGTGAACCACGACACTATACCAATTCCTCAATTGCCAACCTCCTTTTTCGACTCATTCCTTTTTCGGTATGGCTTCACATCATTTAGGTCAACCCATTATTGTTCTCGATCATAGTTAACTTTGATAGCCTTTAATTAAGTTCATGTA